TGCGACGGGGCCCTGATCTCGGCTGGGGTCTGGACAGCGCCCGGCGCGACGGGGCCCCGATCTCGGCTGGGGTCTGGACAGCGCCCGGCGCGACGGAGCCCGTGATCTCGGCTGGGGTCTGGACAGCGCCCGGCGCGACGGGGCCCTGATCTCGGCTGGGGTCTGGACAGCGCCCGGCGCAATGGGGCCCCGATCTCGGCCGGGGTCTGGGCAGTGCCCAGCCCAGTGTTGGACTCGATCTCAGTTGGGGCCTCAAAATTTGGATTTTTTATTTACAAATTTTTTTAATAGAACAATTTTACCAGGCCAATCTCAGTGGAATAAAGTCTCTGCCAGAAAGAGGCGTTTGGCCCGTCACCGTGTAGATTTACGGTGTTAACATTAGCACCTGGTCGCCTAGCTGAACCCAGGAGCTACAGGGAGCAGCGCTGGTGACTCTGGCCGAGGACAGAAACGGTTTTAGTTGTGTCTGGTTTGGATTGTTTCCTGGGGTTGCGACGGGTTCAGGTCAGTGGGGAACGTGAGCACTTTGCAGGATCAGGGGCATGGGGCTGAATTAAGATAATGTGGGTCACAAGGTCCATCCTACTGGGCCTCCCCGATGCTGTAGCCCTGTCCTGGCCATGGCCCCTGGCAGAGTTTAGAGGGCCGGAGCAGTTCACCCCTCTTCCAGCTACTGTTCCAGGCTCTCTGCAGACTCCGGAAGGCACAGCGCACCTTGGTTGTCCGCCTAGCGTAGGGGTTGTGAGACGTTTGTACTGGTGACCCCTTTCACACAGCGAGCCCCTGAGTGCGACCCCCCTTACACAGTCAAACCACTTGTTTATATCTTTAACACCATTAGAAATGCTGGAGGCGAAGCGGGGTTTGGGGTGGAGGTTGACAGCTCGCGATCCCCCAGGTAATAACCTTGCGACCCCCTGAGGGGTCCCGACTCCCGGGTTGAGAACCCCTGCTCTCGCGCGGGTGAAGTGGGAGGGTGGATGGAATTGTGGGCAAAGAAAAGGACAATGGCTCCGATTCCCACCTCCTCTGGAGCCCGGCGTCCAGCTCTGGCCCCCCGTGGGCAGGAGAGAGGAGCTGAAGCCGGACCTGGCGCGGAGAAGGGTGGCTGGGGGGCTGTGGGGAACGGAGTGCCAAGGGGGGAGGAGGGATCGGTTTTCTCCCTGGAAATGCCTCCGGGGGACCGCTCGAGCTGCAGCAAACTAGGTAGTGGCCCAGGGCCGCGCTGTGACTCTGGGTCCAGGTGGCACCGATACTCCAGTGTGGCCTGGACGCACACGGCCTGGCTGGAGGGGCAGCCCTGCGGGCTCACCGCACGCCCTGGGGAGGAACCTCTGTTCTAGGCAGCAGGAGGGGGCTGCTCGGGCGGCAGAGCTGGGCAGCCTCTGGGGAGCGCGGGCGCAGCTAACGGGCAGTGTTGGCACCAGAAGAAAAGGGGGGAACCCGGCCAGGAGTCAGCGGAGCTGGGGAGCTGGTTTCCGGTCACGGGAGCAGGGAGGTTCCTCCGCACAAGAGCAGGGCGGCAAAGAGCCCGGCAGGTTTGAAGATGGAGTCCGATGAGTTTCTGAGTCATTGTGGCTGGTTCTCCGAAAACACCCGCTCAGCGTCCTGGCCCGGGAAGCCAGTGATCCAACCCACGGGCCAAATTCGGTGAATCCTGGTCACGTGCCACCCGAGGCATGAAGCACATATGCTGAGAAGTGGGCAGCAGCAGTCAGAAAAGCCACCGGTGCTAGGAACCACTAGGGAAGGGAGAGAGAATGAGACAGAAAATATCAATCTGCCTCTATCTCAATCCATGGTATGTCCACATCTGGAATACTCAGGGCCGGTGTAACCACTAGCCGGCCGCCTAGGGCGCCAAGATTTGGGGGCACCAAAAAGCCGCTGCCGCTCACCTCTCACCCCCGCCCACTGCCACTTCGGGGCAGGGGGAGGAGACAGCAGGTTCCTCCCCCCGCGGCCAGGCGGGCCGGGCTGGCTGGATTCGGGAGACTAGAGGAGGCTTGTCCTGCTGTGGGCATCTCGGTCCGTGCCCAGGCCAGGTCAGGGCGGGGCACTCGCTCACTCGCGCCCCAGGAGTTCTGGCATGGCGCACTGGAGGCCGGGGCTGGGTCTCGGCAGGGAGCCGGAGGGAAGGGGGGCCTGGGCTTTGGGAGACGGAAAGACGCTGCGGCGGGGCAGGGTCCCTGCCCCACAGAGCCAGAGGGGGCTGGCTGAGCTCCAACCGCTTGGGTCGGACTTGACACGTGTGTGGGGGGCGCTGGTGGCGTGTCTGGCTCTCCAGCCTGGCTCCCTCGGGTGCTCTGCGGCCTCCATCGCCCTGGCACTGGCTGTCCCCTGGGGTGCTTCTGTTCTGCTGTTTAATTCTCAGTATATGGATGAGACACTAAAGCCCTGATCCTGCAAACGCTTGAGCGCCTGCTTTGTTTTAGACAGGAGAGTGAATTTCCTGTCCTTGCCGAGCATGTCTGCAGCACCAGGGCCCAGCTGAGGGGTGGAGAAATCGCATTGCTCTAAGGCACTAAAGGAGGGTGGAGTGCTTCCGAGGAGCCAAATTAACTGATTGGTAACCTCAGACTCTCCTAGTGCTGTACAATACACAGTTTCTCAGCTCCAAGTCTCTTCTCCTTCTCCCCCTGTCTTGTTTCATTTGATTTCTGTTATTTTTTGACTTTTTCCTTGGATGCTGCCCCCCCCCGGGGAAAAAAGTACATGAATTAAATTGCTAATTGAAATCAAAGTCAAGAAAAATGACTAGTAAATTTCCCATTGTGAGATGGTCACTTGCTGACGTGGTATTTGGGGTCACTCTTTGGGCAATTCATTATTTAACTTCTCGATTATAAGACTGGTACATTCTGGAATGATCATTTGCTGGTCAGTATTTTTTTTTTTCAGGAAAAACCCAAACTGATTTTTTCCTTCTCACTAAAAAGTAATTTAAAATGAGATGAATTATTTTTTTCTGAAACCTTATGTTATTAATGTCATGGTCTTTGTATATTTTAAGATTGCAACATTAATATTGCATTAAATATGATTTTGCATGTTAATTTATGCTCCGGGGGGAGGGGAGGGGAAGGGGGGGAGGGGGCGCAAGGTGGAAGTTTCGCCTAGTGCGCAAAATATCCTTGCACCGGCCCTGGGAATACAGCGTGCAGATGTGGTCGCCCCATCTCAAAATAGATGTATTGGAATTGGAAAAGGTTCAGAAAAGGGCAACAACAATGATCGGGGGCATGGAATGGCTGCCGTGTGAGGCGAGATTAATCAGACTGGGACTGTTCAGCTTGGAAAAGAGACGGCTAAGGGGGGATATGATAAAGGTCAATAAAATCATGACAGGTGTGGAGAAAGTGAAGAGGGAAGTGTTATTTGCTCCTCATAAGGACAAGAACTAGGGGCCACCCAATGACAATTAACAGGCAGCAGGTTTAAAACAAACAGAAGGAAGTATTTCTTCACACAACGGCACGATTAACCTGTGGAACTCCTTGCCAGGGGATGTTGTGAAGGCCAAAAGTCTAACTGGGTTAAAAGAAGAGTGAGATGAGCTCCTGGAGGATGGGTCCATCAGTGGTGATTAGCCAGGATGCTGAGGGATACAGCCCCACGCTCCGGGGGTCCCAAGATCTGTGATGGCCGGAAGCTGGGACTGGTCGCCCGGGGACGGATCACTCGATAGCCGCCCTGTTCTGTTCATTCCCTCTGGGCACCTGGCACCGGCTGCTGTCAGAGACAGGGCGCCGGGCTGGACAGGCCGCTGCTCTGGCCGTCCCAGGACCGTGACAGGACACCGTGGTGAGGGCCGGACTCGATGACCCAGGTGGGCTCCGGTCCTGAGCTCCGTTTGCACTTGGCACCGGCTCTGGAGGGCCACGGGACGCCCCCTCTTTGCGCTGGGGGGCTCCGAGCCCGGGGGCTGGGCACACGCAAGCAGGGCAGCTCCCGGCCGGTGGTTTGCCTGGCAGGAGTCGCCGCGGGCACCGGGCAATGCAGGGAAAGGCCCCGGGTGCGGGGTCCAGCGCCGCGCCCCAGGCAGCCGAAGCCTGTGGTTTTGGTGCGGGGCAGAGCTGGTCTCCGGAGCCCAGGGCCAGGCGCGGGGAGCTCGCCATGGACCCGGCCCGGCCCGGGGCAGGGCTGGGGGCTGGGGGCTGGCTCGGCCCGGCCCCCGGGGTGGAGCTGCGGGCGGGAGGGAGTTTCCCGCACGGGGAGCCGGGAGCCGGGAGCGCCCAGCATGGCAGCCTGCAAGAACATTGTCATTTTCGGGGCCACCGGCATGACCGGCCTGGCCACCCTGGCGCAAGCGCTGCAGGCGGGTAAGAGGGGCGCGGGGACCCCCCGGCCGGAGCCCGGCGCCGGGGCGGGGCGGGGCGGGGCGGAGGCGCCCCGGGGCCCGGGCACAGACAAGGGCTGGAGACCCCAGGGAGCGACCTGCTGCCGGTGCAGATCCTGCCTCCGTCCCTCACTCCCCGGGTCTCTGCTGGGGGCCACTTCCCCCTCTGACAGTCGGGAACGGATCCACCCCTCGGCTCCCCCGACTGGGGGCGTTTCGGGGCAGGGGCTGCCCCTTGCT